ATAACATGGATGAACCTTGAGGACATTATGTTGAGTGAAATTAGTCAGTCACAAAAGGAGAAATACTGCATAGGACCATTATTGTCAAAGACTAAGAAAAAGAACCCATACTAAAAAGGTAAAAAAAAAAAAAATTCTTTGCTGGTTACCTGGAGGTGGGGGGTAGGGTGAAGGGAGGGGGAGGGCAAGGTGGAACACAGAGTAGGGAGTAGACACAGGATAGTTTGGGTGCTGGGGAGGGGCCCATTATCTTTTAATTCCATTTTTTCCATGGAAGTCCCTATTTGAAGCAATCAATTTTCTTTTTCAACTTATAGAGAACCAAATCAAGAAAAGGACTTTTCAGACTCAGCAATTTCTAGAGCTGAGTGTAAACAAAGTGATATTAAACAGCCTTCAGAAGCAGCAATAAAAGCAAAAGAGTCCCCATCTTCCTCTTCTGCAACCTCCTTCTATTCCTTTGCTGCTGAATCCAGAGATTCTGAAGGAGATGGTGAGAGAAAGGGTTCTTCCATTTGAATTCAGGCTCCTCTTTTCCTCTATGAGACATCCTAATCTTGATAGGAGTGATCCCACTATATCTGCTTCTCACTTTTCTCCACAAGTCTAACTTCCTGTTCTGAATTTCTTTCTTTGAGCTTCATTTCCCTGGTGCTTCTGTTTTCCTTTAGGTAAGTGTGGCCAAGGCTCCCTTTGCTTTAGTCTTTGTAAAAATTAGTCTCTTGATAATGTACTCTTTTCCTTTCCTGCTGTTTTCTCTTTCATTTCTGCCCCCACCCCCAATAGAATTTATGCTCCTTTAACCAACTTCTGAAAATCAAGACATGTTTTTAAGAAGCATTCTTTTCTATAGACCAGTTAGACTGGGAGACTCATGTGCATCAGAATCTGCCTGGGCTAATGGAAATGAATCAGGAGGAACGTGTTGTTTGGCCCAGAGACTCACTCTTCCGGTATTTTGAGTTGCTAGAAAAGCTCCAGTATAACCTAGAGGAGCGTAAGCACTTGCAAGAATTTGCAGGTATGGATTTAGGGTAATGGTGGGGACCAGGAGTTAGGTACCTAGGAATAGTACATATAAGTGGGGAGAAGGAAGGAGGGTGATCACTATTTTGGCATCTCAGCCTCTCAATTTCTATTTTGGACCTTAGCAAATTCCTGGTTTGGTATGTCACATTCTAGGCACTTAGTTGAGTTTCCTCTAACCTAGAGAGAATCTAAGGAGCTCTGGTAGCTAGTGGTTACAAATTGGGCTGCTAATCACGGTCAGCAGTTCGAAAGTTACCAGCTGTTCCACGCGAGAAAGATGAGGCTTTCTGCTCCCTAAAGATTTACAGCCTCGGAAACCCTAACAGAGAGAACCTAGCAATTCTACTTCTCCAGCAGGGGACGCCCAAATCCTACAACATCTTACTTCCCAAGAGGAGAGTGTCTAATTCCACACGTTGGGAATCAGGACAAGGTTGGCTGTTGCTGGATTTAGGCAGCCCACCCCCTTCTATACATATTTCTTGTCTTTGAAGGTCATATTTCAAATTTGAACAGCAGGGCCTCAATCCTCTATGGGGATTAGATAGTCAGCAGAAAGCCCTCAAGTGTTTACTGCCTCCAGCCCTCACAAGCGCTTTGTGAATTATAGACGTCTCTTCCTTTTAGCGCTTTCTAGTGGACTCATGTAAAGAGCTCTGGTAGCATAGTGGTTACCAATCGGGCTGTGAACCTCAAGGTCAGCAGTTCGAAACTACCAGCCATAGGAGCTATGGAGAAAGATGAGGCTTCCTGCTCCCATAAAGATTTACAGCCTCGGAAACCCAGTATAGGGACTTGCTATGAGTCGACCCGACTTCACGGCACACAGCCACCACAGTGGACTTCCGTGGAGTCCTGGTGTGGTGCGGTAGGTTAATGCGCCAGACTGCAAAGCCGATTGAACTGCAAGGTCGGCGGTTCAAGCTCACCAGCTGCTCCTCGGAAATCCTATACAAGGTCGCTATGGGTCAGAAGCTACTCGACAGCACTTAGTAACAACAACAACAACAGTGGACTCCCGGTGTGGTGCTGCAGGATCATGTGCAAAGTTGGTTTGAATCTTGTGCAAGATCTCAGGGGTTCAAGGTTTAAGCTCACCAGCTATTTGGAAACCCTATATAGGGTCGCTATGAGTCAGAACTGACTCAGTGACACTTAACAACAAGTGGACTCCTGCAAGGTTTTGAATCACAAGGTGGGCAGTTCAAACTCACCATCTTTGGAAACCTTATACAGAGTTGCCATGAGATGAAACCAACACAACAGCAAGTGGATTCCTCGTTGTAGTTATAAGCATTCGATTGTGAACCACAAAGTTGGTGGTTCAAACCCACCAGCTGTTCCTCGGAAACCCTGTACCAGGGTCACTAAGAGTAGGAATCAACTTGATGGCATTTAACAACAACAGTGTCACCCTAAACACTTGTGGCACTGTAGGATAAGCACTAGACTGCTAGTCACAAGGTTGGCAGTTCAAACACACCAGCCACTCTGCAGGAGAACGATGAGGCCTTCTGCTCCTGTAAAGATGTACAGCCTCAGAAACTCTATTGTTGTTGTTAAGTACTGTTGAGGTGGTTCGTGGTTCTGACTCATGGTGACCCTGTATAAGGTTTCTGACGAACAGCTGGTGGGTTTGAACTGCCGATCTTGTGGTTCACAGTCCAGTGCTCATCCTCCAACGTCACACCAGAAATCCCTATACAGGGTCACTTGAGTTGAAATTGACTCGATGGCAGTGAATATGGTTTTTTTTTAGTGTCAGTCTAGGCAGAATGAAGGGGCCTGTTTTAAATAGTGGAGTTTGCTTCAAGCTGAAAATTTGCTGCTCACAATTTTACTTCTTAAAATTTTCACTTGAAATTACACTATTTAGAGATTAATTTGGATTATTAAATGTTTCCTCTTTAAACACATACACACACACACAGTTTTGAAGTGTTGGGGGCAGCTTTTTTTACAGTTTAATATGTAAATGAATTTCACTTCTTCATAACAGTTGAAATCAATCCAATGTGAAAATAAAAGTTAAGTTAGAGAAGAATGTGTGTGTGTGTGTGTGTGTGTGTGTGTGTGTGGTGGGCACAGGAGGGTAGTAAGAGGAATTCATAATATTGGAACATGGAATTTGAGGCAGAATGTTAAAGATAGGCTTTGTTGTTGGGTTGAACATGTAGTTGAGTACAACTGCCCAGTAGGGTTTTCTAGGTTGTAAATCTTTGTGGGAGCAGACCTAAGAGCAGCTGGTGGGTTCAAACCACTGACCTTTCCATTAGCAGCTGAGTGCTTCACCATTATGCCATGAGGACTCTTTAGGACAGGCTTTGCCTTTTTTAAAAAATGTGGACTATGGTTCATTCAGCCCTGCCTTTCCACTTGTTCTCTGCAGATTCTAGAGTATAGGCTGATGGGAAGGAGAAGGTAGCAAGCTGGCTTCTTTAATCTTGACTAACTTGATTAGCTATATCAAAGCATACACAGAATTATACAGCTTTATTTAAAGATTTTCTGGAAACCTAGAACTGTAGAAAAAAAAGCATCTTCATTATACATTTAAATGTTCTGAATATTCTTAACTGTCTAGTCTCATGATCTGTTCCTTTACAGTTCAGGCACTGATGAACTTTGAAGACAAGTAAACCAAACAATGGATGGATGGCTTTGATGTCTTTGGGTCCAGCAAGAAATGATAAAGGGGATACTTGGAAAAGGGAGAATTCAAAATATAAATGTCTAATAAATACTGCTGATTGTTGCTCAGTGGTCTGGCTCTGAGACATGATGGATGCTGAAAAGCTGATGCTTTTCAGTGAAAAAGTTAGTTTAGATGCCAGTGGAGCCTGTCCTTGACTTTCTATCCCTTCTACACGTCCTGAGCCTGACACTTTTCTCAAGTTATCACCGTAGCCATCACCCTTCCTGCACCTCTACTTCCTGATGGAATCCTAATTTCACTGCCCGCTTCCCTACAAATAAAGCCTTTACAAACCTTGGGGTCAGGAAAGGTCTGTCTGTGGGGGAAGGAGAGCTTACATACCTACAATAATTGAGAACTGTTGATTTTATCACCTACTCTACTAACATTTTTTTTTCTCCTGTGCACCATTAACTTTAATCAATACATCAGTTTTACCTGCTTCTGGGCCAAAGAGAGCCCTTTTGTTCCTTTTCCTTACTATTGTTCCACAGTGATTCTACTCTGCAGCCACTGATATTGAGTCAATTCTGACTCAAAGTGACTATAGGACAGAGTAGAATTTCTCCATAAAGTTTCTGAGGCTGTAAGCCTTTAGGGAGGAGTCCTGGTGTGGCGCTGTGGGCTGATGCGTCAGACTGCAAAGTCAGTTTGAACTGCAAAGTCAGTGGTTCAAGCTCATGAGCTGCTCCTTGAAAACCCTATACAGGGTTGCTATGGGTCGGAATCAACTCAACAGCACTTAACAACAATAACAACAAGCCTTTAGAAGCAGATTTCTTCATCTCTTTTCCCTGGAGCAACTGGTGGGTTTGAACCATTGACCTTTTGGTTAGCAGCCTAATGCTTCACCCACTGCACCAGCAGGGCTCCTTTTCCTCTTGATGCTGTTGTCTGACTCATACAGACCCTCTGCAGAACAGAACAAAGCACTGCCCCGTCCTGCACCATTTTCACAATTGTTGTTTGCTTGAGCCCATTGCTGCTGCCATTTTTTGGGATCTTCCTCTTTTTTGATGACTCTCCACTTAACCATGCATGATGTCCTTCTCCAGGGACTGGTCCCTCCTGATAACGTGTCAGAAATATGAGAGTTCATATGAAGTCTTACCATCTTGGCTTCTAAGGAGCACTGCGGCTGCACTGCCTCTCTATGTTGTTGTTGTTATTTGCCATTGAATTGGTTCTGACTTATAGGGACTCTGTACAGGGTTTCTGAAGAGCAACTGGTAGTTCGGACCACCAACACTGAGGTTCAAAGTGACCTTGTGGTCCAGTGCATGTCCTACAGTGCTATACCAGGATTCCACTACACTCTATAGGAGAGTTCAAGTCAGTAAGTATTCCATAGATTTTTAGTGTTAGAAAGAATCTTAGAGTTAGTTTATCTTCCATCAAAGCAGGAATTTCTTTTTTCAGGAATTTCTTTTAGAACATTACTGAAGGCAATTATCCAGCTGATGCTTAATGTTTCTGTTGTTGTTGTTGTTAAGTGCCATTGAGTTGGTACCAACTCATAGCAACCCTATGCACAACAGAAGGAAACATTGCCCCATCTCTCGCCAACCTCACAATCATTGAGCCCATTGTTGCTGCCACTGTGCCAATCCATCTCATTGGGGATCTTTTTTTCTGACCTTCCAAACATGATATCCTTCTCCAGGGACTGATCCTTCCTGATAATATGTCCAAAGTATGAGAGATGAAGTCTGGCCATCCTGGCTTCTAATGAACATTCTGGCTATACTTCTTTTAACACAGATTGGTTTGATCTTTTGGCAGTCCTTATTATCTAGAGGACATCCCGTTGTATTGTCAAGGACACAAGTCTTTTGAAATGTTTATTTAAAACTATTTTATTGCATATTTAACATATATATATATAATACATAAGTATATATCTCATACATGTATAATATATATATATATATATATATATATAATACATAAGTATATATCTCATACATGTATTATATATATATATATATAATACATAAGTATATATCTCATACATGTATATTTGGTATTTATGTATATTCTGTAAAACAAAAATGTAAGAAAGATATAATCCCATTTTAGAGATCAGAACATCGAGGCTTGAAGAAGTTAAGTAACTTGCTCAAAGGTACATACTAAGTAAGAGGCAGACCCAAGATTCAAACCCAGGTTAAAAATCTGAGTTGAGAAACAATATACAATAGAATGAATGTAAAACTAATGTTCTCCCATGTAAACTATCACATAATTCACAATAAAATATTTATAAAAAAAAATCTGAATTGAGATGAGAAAAATTTTATTTAAATCCCTTAAACAATAAAAGTACTTACTGGCTTTTGTAACTAAGTAGTTTAGATGTAGTGTGGCTTCTGGGTTGATTTAATATTAAAAATTTACCATCAGTAAAGCTGGTTTTATTTCTTTGAAATCCTTTTGTATCAGCCTCTTTATTCACATACTGAGAAAGGAAGATCATGTGTCCTTCCTTAGTCATTGAACAAAATTCCTGAGCTTGCATTAGAATCATGGTTATTCTTAGAATGTTAATACTGCCTGGGAAGGAAGATGAGGGAGCTTCTGGGGTGCTGATAATGTTCTATATCTTGATCTGCATGGTGGTGACATAAATATGTTGTTGTTGCTGTTATGTGCTGCCAATCAATTCCAACTGATAGCAACCCTATCTAGGTTTTCTGAGGAGCAGCTGGTGGGTTTGAACTGACAACTTTGTGGTCCAGCTCTCATCCTACAGTGCCACACCATGATTCTTCACAAATATATAGAGATGTAAAAATTCAACAAGCTGTATGTACACTCAAGATTTGAGCATTAACTATATGTAAACTAAACCTCAAACACACATACATATAAAACAGTGCTGAGCATCACATTAATTAGACCTAATAAGGTCATACTCCCACTCGTGAACCAAAGAGGTAAGGTAAATGGGGTCACTAATCAAGAGTTTCCTGGAACTGGTAGGGCCAATCATACCCAATCTTAAGGAGTACTACACAATCGAAAAGAGATTGAATAGATGATAAGGAAGAAATTATAAAGCCCTATTTAGTAGTCATTACCTAAGATTAGTATGGCATTGCCGGATAATGCGCCAGACTGTAAGGTCAGTTTGAACCGCGGGGTCAACAGTTCAAACCCACCAGCCACTCCTCAGAAACCCTATAGAGTGTTGCTGTGGGTCGGAACTGACTTAACAACACTTAACAACAACAACAACAACCAATGATTATGTCTACAAAAAGCCAACTTAGGAAAAATAAAAATTTATTGATTAATTGAATGTCCAAAATATTTCCATAGAGATAGAAAGCAGGGAAGGAGAAGTTAGGAACGACTACTAATGGGTACAGGGTTTCCTTGGGGACATGGAAGTGTGATGGGTGCACAATATAGTGAATATACTAAAGATCACTGGATTGTATACTTTAAAATGGTGAATTTTAAGTCATGCACTGGACCTCAAAGTTGGTTTGAACTGCAAAGTCAGTGGTTCAAATCCACCAGCCACTCCTCAGAAACCCCACACAAGGTGACTATGCTGACTTGACAGCACTTAACAACAACAACAACAAAGTGAGTATCTTAACTAAAAAATGAAGTAAAGATTATCTATCTAAAACCAAGAATTAACATTGCATTTCAAGAAAAAATATTTTTAAAGTGAGGAACAAAATGTTTAAAATTTTTTTCTCATACAATATTATATGTCTTCTAATCCTGGTGTGGCACTGTAGGATAATCACTGGACTGCTAACTTCAAATTTAGTTCAAACCCATCAGCTGCTCCTCAGAAACCCTATACAGGGTCGCTATGACTCTAGGGCACTTAACAACAACAACAACAATACATCTAATTGTCTATTGTGTAGGATTTCTGAGGCTATAAATCTTTACAGGAACAGAAAGCCTCATCTTTCTTCAGCAGAGCAGTTGGTGGGCTCCCACTACTGACCTTGTAGTTAGCAATCCATTGCTTACCTACAAAAACACAGCATTCTCATATATATAAAATATTGTATTAGAAATTCTCCCTATCATAAGAAATATGAGATAAATATTTGGAAAGAAGAACCAAAAATCCGACTTTCAGGCATGATTGTGTACCTAGAAACTCCAATGGAATCAACTAGAATTAGAAATAACAAAAGATTTCCATTAAGTGGTTAAAAATAACAAAGATTCCATTAGATAGTGTTCAAAAAAGGGTTTGGAACAGAAATCTGGGAAATAGGAATATTTAAGGGCTAAGAGTAGGAAGAGGTGCTGCAAGAGGGGCCTGACAGAGAATAGACAGGAGAATAACCATTCTAGAGTAATATCTCTAGAGTCAAGAGAGAATTTCAAGAAACAAATGATCCAGTAAGATTAGGACTGAAGCATCTGTCAAACTTGACAATCAGAATGTTATAAATATAATGAAACAGGAAGGAAGCATTCTTAAATAAATTCTAAATATGCTATTCACAATGTAGATATTCTTTGAGTGACATCTTTGAGTAGGTTTGATCAAAGTGTTGTCTGAGGTATTGGCTTCATCTGGTAACTTGTGAGAAATGCAGAATTGCAGATACTGTTGCCGGCTATTGAATAAGGTGATTCACATGGACATCAAAGCTTTAAAAGCACTCCTTTACAGATGATTTAATGATTGAGTAGATTTCCAATGAATGTTCCATGCATACTGCCTCTAATTCTCCAGCTCTTTCCTGGAAGGAAAAAAATTATCTAGCTTTAATTCCAATGGAATGGAAGTTTATTCAACAAGTATTTGTTGAGTTCCTACTATGTGTCAATACTAATCTAGGCATTTGGGATATATCAGTGAAAAAACAAAATAGAAATCTCCCCATTCTCAACAATTCCTCTTAAGATCATCAAATAATAAATTGTAATGTTCACCACATGTCTGTCAGTTTGTCATAC